GGCTGTAAAGGTCAAGTACTGTGGAGCGGTGAGTCAACAACAAGTTTGAACCATGGGAGGCGTCTGTACCTAAACAGAAGTTGCTCAAGTCATGTTGTTAAGAATGACTTCTCCCGCAGCGAGGCGGGGTGAATTTGGGGCGCTTATTGTCCCACAAACGTTGGGAAGCGTTCAGGAGGGGGGAGCTGAGAAGATAGTCCGGAGGCTACGGCGTTGAGCCCGCAGAGAGTGACAATAGTCCTTGCGCTCCTGTCAAAGTAGCTTCAGCATTCTTCCTTGTCCACCAGTGACTTACGGAGGACGCTGTGACGGCATGTCAGCATGCGTCTAATATCCGGAGGTAAATCAGCTGAACCCATATCAAACTGAGAGTGAATCCCCTCTTTGGCAACACAGTGACGTTCACGGAGCTGAACATTGTCATCCAAATGTTGAACGGCGTTCCGTTGTTCCCACATATAGAACCCAATGGAGATGAGTTGCTGGGAAAGACAGGAGGCCCACAGAGAAACCGACCGACGACTGTGAATCTTGTCAAAATAATTTTGTTGCGGAGCCAGCCACAAAGGAGGCTAGTTTGCCTTCTAAAAGTCCCTCACACCCAATAGCTTCCTGTGCCAGAAAGGCCGGGCGAATGGTCCAAGAGATCAAACAAGAGGGGGGACATGATGAGTCGCAAACACCCTGAAGCAGAAGGAGTATCGCATGTTTGATGGCGGGGGAGGTAAGATGTATACCCATCCAGAGCGAGAGCGCGGTCACCCTCCGGTCCCATTCGTCCCTAGCCGAGGCTGCTGGGCAAGTGATCTTCAAACTCACCGCACCGAGGGCACACAGCGGACGATTCGAGGCCCCAATACACTTTGAACTTCCCTGTGCCGCACATGCCCACCCAATGTTTTGTTATCCAGCGCTGGAGTCCGGCAGGTAGTGACCTCATAGCACGGCCCAGTGTCTCCCAGTCAATAAGGTTTTCAGACTCCTCAGAGATCACATTACGATTCCTCCAGTGTTGCCGCAGCCGGGGGAGTGTCACAAACTCCTGAATGAAGTGGTCACTCAGCCAAGACTGCTTTGTGTCAGCCACAAAAAGAGCTGCCAGTTCCGTGAAGAACCGAGGATTGGAGGGGATAAGTTGGTGGGCGGCCTCTAGTTCCTTGCGGAAATCCACTGCCATGCCATCTACCTCCTGGTTTTTCTTTTCCCACCAAGTGAGTTCATCAAATAAGTTGGACTTGTCCAGATGTCCGTAGACATGCCGTGGAGACCAAGACACCAGAGACCGAGAGATAGCTTCCCGGATGGAAGAGATCAGGTCAAATTGTGCATCAGTGGGTGAAAGGGGTCGATCTTCAAAGGCCATTTCAATGGCCAAAAGGCCATCACAGGCGATCTTGACACCCGGCCGCTGGCTAAGGGCTGGGAACCATTGTTGGAGGAGCCAGTCAACCGCCATAATCCCAGCCAGAAGGCCAATCAACTCGCTACAATAGACACTCTGATCCTGAGGTAGACCTGGAGTTTGACAATGGATGACAATGCGAGCAGTTCCCCCTTTGGGCAGGAGCTGAACAGCAGCAGTTCCCAGGTCATTGGCGTCCAGGTAGGCTCCAGTCTTTGTACCCCCCGGCATATGGCGCAGGATCATCTCCAAGTGTTTGTACACTTGCTTGCCAAAGGGGTGAGGAACACCAAGGCCTTGATAATCCACCGGGGCAAAGACCACCAAACGGGGAAAGTTGCGGCAAATACCTGACTTAGGTAAGCACACCTGGAGAACCGGTGACATATTGTCCTGCCATTGTTGAGCGTTGAGGGTAGTGAGTGCCATAGGATATTCAAGCTTCTTCATGATCGTGGTCCGGATTAAGGGTAACACGTCGTACTTGTGTAGCAGGTGAGGCCAAAGCTGTTTGGCCCACTCTTTAGCTTTAGAGACCAACTGTGCCTCCTGTGCGTTGTGATTTTCCAGTGGCAACAACATCACCCCCAGAGTATGTTCAGAATCATCTGGTTCAAGGCAACGGAGGGGTTCAATGTCACCGTATAACCCCGGTATCTTAAGGTCGAATTCCGGTGCCGCGGAGCATTCCTACAGAATCTCCACTGACCATTGCGAGCATGCCATTCAAAGTCAATAAGCCACCAGAAGGACTTCTCCGGATTGATTGCACCACCTGTTGCCCGAAATCCCCTTGACCACAAGGTGGTAGCAGCCTGGACTGAGGCGCAAATATCCTCCCCAGAGTGATGGACTGTGTCACCTGCTTCAATCACGTCCGTATTGTCAGCAAAACAGAAACATTGGGCTGTCACTAGTTGTGACTCTAACGCCAAAAGACACTCAAATCCGTAGCTCATTGCTTCCATCATTGTAATTAACACCGAGCTCACCGAAATCCAAATGGGGGGTCCGGCACCATTCCCTTGCCCACAACCTTGGAATGGCACCGTTGACGGAGGGCAAAAGCTTCTCTTGGAGTCACCAAAACCTGTGCGAACATGCTGGGTAGCGGAGGAGAGCATGTTGAACATCGATTATAGAACACGCCATGTCAAGCCAAACCGCAACATTGCGACGATGGCCACCCAGTGGACCACACGGTCAAAGCAGGACTTGGCATCATTCGAGATCCACCCCGCTGCGCGGCGTTGAAGGATCAGTAGATCCCACACTAATCGTTTAGACAAGGCCAGGTCAATTGCTTGATGACGTTTGCGTGAGCCGCATTGCCCGTCGGGTATCAAGGAGTGCGCTTTGGCAAATTGCATGGCTGCACGGCCTGCCTTCTTATTGTTTGCCTGGGCCTCGGAATTCATCAGCTGGATGGTGCGCATTTTAGATAGGCGGAAGTCTCCTGGCTTCTTTTCAATGGCAAAGTTCATCAGGTTTTGCCATTGAAGAGGAACAAACCCTGTGGTGAGAGGAATGTTCCGGAAGAGGGCATCACAGTACGCTATAGATGGAGACTGGATAGCCGCCTTAAAGTGTCCATTATGTAGTCCATGAGGTTTGGATCCTTTATTCTCAGGGTTCCGCGACCAGAAGTACACATGATCGTCCTTGGAGACTTGCAAGTGGACTGGAGAGTGCCCTTTGTGAAACCGGCAGTGAGATAAGAAAGAAGCCGTAGCTGGGTCCAACAGATCAGGTAATGTGTAACGGCCTTCTAACAATGCCAGATAATTTATTTCAGCGTTGTCACCGGTAGATTCGCTATATAACGAATCGGCCATAGGTGGAGTGGTATACAGCGCTCGTGTTTGATCATAGCGTGCCGTGTTTTCTTGCATGCACCCATCTTCTACCAGGCGGCGGTCAGTGATGGTCCGGAGACTCGTAGTACCATCTGCTAAGTGTTCTTCAATTTGAAATAGCCTGAAGGCCCCCTGTAGATCCTTTGCTCTGGGCGCGACAACGGCGTCTCGCCTCCTCTCTTTGCTTCATTTGTCGAAACCAAAAGAATCTATCACAGGCCTTCCGAGACTTCCACTGATGCTTCTTTGCGTCCTTGGTTTGGACTGTCAAGAAGTCTTTCCTCCATTGAGCTGCGTAGGTGTGTTTGGCCTGCTTGTACAAGGAGCGCTCTTGCTTCAGGCAGTCCTCCAGATCA